TTTAACACAAAAAAAAAATAATAATTTTTAACACCAACCTATGTTGTTGATGGGTTGGCCCGCTTGGTTATAAATAAAACATAGTCCTATTAATGCAGAAACACAATAATAATAAAAATCGAAAATTGAAGAATCGAAAAATAGTCCACTTAGGCTTTACGCTATCCAAATATCTTCTGTTTAGTGTCAAGGACTTAATGACGTCAAGGACTTGTTGTTACATTTACTCTGTAGATCTTTGTTTATTTAATTGATTATTTAATAGGTAATTAAACCTTAATTGATAATTGATAACAGGTAATTAAACCTTAGCAGAGTTGGTTATTTACTTGGTGGCGCTGAAAGTTTGCACGCTTGACAATATTGGCTCAAGCACCTTGTACTACATTTAGTTTTTAAAAAGAAATACATGATTCTATTTTCAATCTAATATTTAGTCTTTAGTTAGGAAACGCGGCCATTTTTAAAATTTCTAAACATTTTAATAAAAAGTAGCCGATGTTTACTTATTCTATGTGCTTCTAAACGACCTTGAGACTTCTTGATAAGTTTTTTTTTAAGAAATTTAAAAGTTTTCATTGCTACATTTAAATGTTTTTATCTTTTTCATAACAATACAAAAGAGCAGTAAAAAACAGGAGCATTTAGATTTAATTGTTTTTTAAGCTTGTTTCCAAGTTTTCTTTTTTGTTACAACTATTTTGGTAATATCAAATATAAATTAACTTCCTTCTGAGATAATTCTTTGAGATAAAAATTGTGATATTTGTTTTTAAATATTAAAAGTTTTTCTATATTTAGCACAATTTTAAAATTTTAAAATTTTGAGCGCAAAAACAATTAAATCGCATAAATGCGATTAACGAGCTCATGCTTGTTAAATTTAGTCTTAGTAGTCATAAATGAGCGCATAAACAATTAAAGTTTCCATTTTTTACGCTTTTGATCAATCTTGCATTAGCTTTCAATAATTAGTTTTTAAAAATATCATCAAAAACATTTTTTTTTGGAAAAACTTTTAAAAACGCATTCTAAACCAATTTAAGAAAACAAAACATATTCATTATTCAAAACAATTTGAAAACAAAATTCTGGCAATTTTAAACCAAAAGAATTTACGTAAATTCAAGTTTAATGAAATATTAGTTTTTTAAAATTTGAGCGCCAAGTCGATGAAGAATCCTTAGAAAAAATTTGATATGATAATTTATTTTGTTTATTATTATTTTGCTTATTGTTAATAAGTATACAAAATTCATAAATTAAAAAAATAATTTTTAATTAAGATTCAGTAGTTATTTTTATGCTTTTGTTTTAAATGCCAAATATTCTCCAATAAATACTTCACTAGCAATGCAAAAAACGAAAAAAAATCGACTGGTAAAATGCGGGATTATAGTGCGAAAATAGTGTTGGAGGCTTAGGGGGTTTGGCACATGCATTGACTGATTTAGGATTGAATTTGCAAAGGAGTGCTGTTACGTCAACTAAGGTTTTGGGTTGGCGCAGTGATTAGGTTTAGAGCTGAGAAAATTTTGCGCTTTTTATTCCAAGATATTAGCCGTTGAAAATTTCCACATATACACAATTTACCCGAGACTGAAACAACCTAGTTTGTAGACAATATTTAATACTTCCTATCTGACTTTTTAACACAAAGTTCAGACGAGAAGTCAGACGAAAAAAATAAGCTTTTTTTACTAATTTTTGTAATTACTGAACAAAATATGTTTTTGCGGCTTTTCTCTGATAAGCGTGGTTTCCGATAGCTGTAGGAATGTCGCACAACAACATTAATTTATAATAAATTTTTTTTTTGTTAAGTTGCACAACTTATGTCGATTATAAAATAAATTTTATGGTGTTAAATTATTGTTGCACAAATAATAACAAGTCAATTGTTGCAATGTAACAACTATTGTACTACAAAACTGCACAACTGTTGTACAATATTTCAACATTTATTGGAAACCAAGCTATAGCATAAAAAAACATTTCGTCAGTGGTTGTTACTTATTGTGTTTAGCCGTGTTTAAAAAAAGTTAAATTTAGTTATATTTAATCATTTATTAAAACTATAAGACCACTTTATGTTGAATATCGAATTGAGTTTTTTTTTTTAACTTTTTTGTTTGTTAATAATTTGTCCTAATGGGTATGTTTTAATAGGATCTGTGTAGATATAATTAAAGAGACTATGTAGTTTTTTGATAGAAAAGAAAGTTTTTCTTTTGTAATTGTCTATGCTTTTTTTGAACATTTTTGTTCATAAAATATTGTTAAAATGCAATATAAAATGGCTGCAATAAACAGGTACATTTTGCAAGAAAGCAAACAATCAAGATTGTACTTTCATTAGCTTACTAAAGTTTTACTGAAGTGACTGCTTAGACAATAACCGAAAGAAAAAAATTTCAAGAAATTTCTTTACAAAAACTTTCTTAAACCAGTCAGATAAACCAACAGAATAAAACCTCCTTAATTTACTGCAATTATATTGTACATTAGGTGGTTCACTTTCATTCTACGTTTTCCGTTTATGATCAACTTTATAAACTTTATTTTCATGAAAAGTTCATTACGATTGCTTTGAGTTGCTAAAGTTCATCTGTATAGTGATTAAACTACAAAGCTTGCTTTAGCTCTTACTGGTGTTTTTAATACGTTCAGGATGATTCATCCATTTAAAAAAAAAAATGGTTTCAGGGCTATTTTACAACTTGGTTTCATTGAAGCAAAAACATCATTAGAAATAAGTTGTATTTCTTTATCATACTTAATATAATTTTTTAAACTATCAAGTGAAAATTTTTAGAATTAGAAAATAAAACTGACGCACAAAATTTTTTAACATCTTGGGTAATTTGCTGAGAAAAACTAGCATTGTGACGTCTTGAAAAAAAACAGAACACTTTTTAACAGATGGGTTTGAAAACAACTCTTCCTTCAATAATTAAAAGCAGTCTTCCTAAAACACAAATATCCATAATAATAACAAAAAAAAAAAAACTCAAGCAGCAACAGCATTAACATATTGTGCAATACTTCTAAAATATTTGTAAAACTTTTGGATTTTCCAGGTTTTCCATTTTTTAGGATTAAGTTTTTTGTAGATTAAAGTGCTATTGGTATCTTCCGTAGCATTTGAATTTTTTTATTATATACAATAATCTGTTATAAGCTACACACACTTAGGTAGAGCACAATGTATTCTTTTTTTTTGGAGATTTTTTAAAGACATTTTTTAAAACATTTAAACTACAATTAAAATAATTATAACAAAGAAAGTTGCGTATCAACCAAGGATTTGTAACAATGAAGGATGTATACCAAAGGGTGTATAGCAACAAAGGATGTATAAAGCCATGGGTGGATCCAGGCCATCTGGTAAGGAAGGATGGGGGTCAATTATTAAATATTTTTTATTCGATGCATTTATATCATTTAGGAAAGAATGAGGAAGTAGGGAGGAAGGAGGATTTGATTTGGTTGATCTTAACTATCTATTACAGTAGGGTGAGGGGTAAGGGGAACAATATTCAGAATTTTATAATTTTTATTTGAATATTAGTTTTTCACTGTCTTAATATGTAACTATAAAACTACGATATATCGATATCTATTCAGGCTGATTTTTTTCTTTGCACCACACAAACTTATTAAAATTTTTTATCGCAGACTCCCTTATTTACTTCGTTTTTACTGCTCAGTTAGAAATTGGAAATATTAATCCTTACGAAGCATTAGAAATACAAAAAAAAACTTTAACCGATAATATTTCAATAGAAAAAGATTGCAAAATAAAGCAAACAAGTAACAACTCAAGAAAATTTTTGTTGCGTTTTACAATAAAATAATTACCTAGCTCCTAATTTTATTATAAAATATATATATATATATAATAATGACCTAGGTCATTATTTTATATATATATATATATATATTTTATAATATATATATATATATATATATATATATATATATATATATATATATATATATATACATATATATGTATATATATACATATGTATACATATATATATATATATATATATATATATATATATATATATATATATATATATATATATATATATATATATATACATATATATATATATATATATATATATATATATATATATATATATATACATATATATATATATATATATATATATATATATATATATATATATATATATATATATATATGTATATATATATATATATATATATATATATATATATATATATATATATATATATGTATATATATATATATATATATATATGTATACATATGTATATATATACATATATATGTATATATATATATATATATATATATATATATATATATGTATATATATATATACATATATATGTATATATATACATATGTATACATGTATATATATATATATATATATATATATATATATATGTATATATATATATATATATATATATATATATATATATATATATATATATATATATATATATATATATATATATATATATATGTATACATATGTATATATATACATATATATGTATATATATATATATATATATATATATATATATATATATATACATATATATGTATATATATACATATGTATACATATATATATATATATATACATATATATATATATATATATATATATATATATATATGCATAACAGAAACGTGGTGTTCTGACGAATCATGCAGAATAAACTCAAGTTTAGAAATTCCTAAGTACAAGTTATTATCGTTTTAACAAAAGGGGAGGTGGAATTATAACTTATATTAGGAATGATCAAATTACTAAAATAAGAGAAGACCTTTCGACCTCAGATGCCGATAGTGAGGTCTTTACAATTGAAATAACTAGCAATAAATCAAAAAACATACTAGTCTCCACATGTTACCGACCGCCTGAAGGTGATTTATTAAAATTTTCCAATCATTTAAAACAAATTTTTATAAAAAACAACAATGAGCAAAAAAAAATATTCTGTATTGGTGATATAAACATAGATTGTTTACAATATGAAAAAAATGCCAATATTAAACTTTTTTTTGACGAAATGCTTCAATATTACATCTTCCCAATTATTAATAAACCAACCCGAGTAACTCCAACTTCAATCTCTGCATTAGACAATATATTAACTAATTCAATCTTTGATACTTCTCTAAAGGCAGGAATAATAAAGACAGACATTTCTGATCATTTTCCTGTTTTCTTCTCTTTGACACAAGATATAAAATCTATAAATAGTTGTAAAATAAAAATTTATAAAAGGAAAATCAACAAATTTGCTATTCAACAATTTAAAGACTCACTATCGGCAGAACAATGGGACAAGGTATACCAAGAATGCAACCTTGGGAACACAAACTCTGCTTATAATTACTTTGAAAAAATTTTCCTAAAAAACTATGATATGCATTTCCCAATTAAAGAAAAATTAATAAAAGAAAAATATTTAAAATGTCCTTGGATCACCAAAGGTATTAAAAAATCCTCCAAAAAAAAACAAAAACTTTATATCAAATACTTAAAAAATAGAAGTGAGGCAAACCTAAATGTTTACAAGCAGTATAAAAACTTGTTTGAAAAAATTAAAAAAAATTCGAAGAAAAACTTTTACTCAAATAAAATAAAAAACTCAAATGGTAATATTAAAAAAACTTGGGATATCATAAAAGAAATAATTGGGACTAAACACTGCAAATCAAATTGTTTACCTGCACAAATTGTCATAGATAATAATGAGTATAACGATTATAATGTAATTTCAGAAAAATTTAACAGTTTTTTTGTCAACATAGGCCCAAATCTAGCTTCAAAAATCCACTGTCTAAACAACTCATTTGAAACTTACTTAACTAGTGTCAACAGCAAACTAATATTTAAAGAACTTAAAATTGATGAATTCGAAAATGCAATAAACTCTAATAAAATAAACAAGTCTCCAGGTGTAGATGACATTAGCAGTAATATTGTTGCTAATGTCTCTTCGCAGATACGCAAACCTATTTTTGAAATATTCAAATCATCAATTAAAACTGGAACTGTACCAGATAAATTAAAAGTAGCTAAAATTATACCTATTTTTAAAACCGGTGAAACATTTCAAATAAATAATTACAGACCAATTTCTATTCTTCCAATTTTTTCTAAAATACTTGAACGAATAATCTACAATAGACTATATGAATATCTAATTCAAAACAAACTCTTAGATAAAAAACAATTCGGTTTTCAATCACAACACTCGACAGAACATGCAACTTTAGATATAGTTAATAGCATAAGTGATTCTTTTAATAAAAAGCAATTTGTATTAGGAACTTTTATAGACCTATCCAAAGCATTTGACACAATTAATCATGATATCCTACTTAAAAAAATGGAAAAATACGGAATAAAAAATACTACCCTAGATTGGTTTAAAAGTTATTTATGCAACAGACAACAATGCGTTATTTCGAACGATAATAAATATTCAAATTTACTAGAAATTAAATGCGGAGTTCCTTAAGGTTCCATTCTTGGCCTTCTTTTATTTTTAATTTATATTAACGATCTTCCACAATCTCTAAAAAAACTTGATGCTGTAATGTTTGCTGATGACACAAATTTGTTTTATTCATCAGCATCAATTGAAAATCTCTTTGAATCTGTGAACGATGACCTTGAGAATCTAAACACCTGGTTTAAAGTAAATAAATTATCTTTAAATACAGAAAAAACAAAATACATTTTGTTTCATTCCAACCATCAAAAAAATAATATACCAAGAATGCTACCATTACTAAAAATTGATAACATAAATATCGAAAGAACTAAAACCGTTAAATTTCTTGGGATAATTATTGACGAAACGATTTCTTGGAAAGCCCATATAAATACAATAAATACAAAAATATCAAAAAGTATCGGCATACTCTACAAAGTCAAACCTTTACTTTCCCAGAAAAATCTTAAAAGTCTCTACTTTTCTTATATACAAAGTTATTTAACATATGCTAATATTGCCTGGGGAAGTACAAATAAATCTAAACTAAATTCTCTATATGTACACCAGAAACACGCATCAAGATTGATTTATAATAAAAATAAATTTACTCATGCCGATCCTTTACTTAAAAACTTGAATGCGTTAAATGTCAATCAAATTAACATCTACCAAAATATTTTATTTATGCTTAAATATATGCTCGGGCTTGTCCCATCTCATTTTACTAATAACTTTTTTCAAACCTACGCCAACAGATACAGCACAAGAGGAACAGGAAATTTCACCCTGCCTATTAAAAAAACAAAATTTTCAAGATTTTCAATTGCATACCGTGGCCCCTACTTATACAACAAAATAATATCTCAAAATATAGAACTTACTAAAGTAGATAATCTTACTATCCTTAAAAAAAAATTAAAAGATCTCATAATTAACAAAACCAATTTTATCGATATGTATTAAATGTAAAAGAAAATGAATATAATAAATGTAACAAGAACAATTTAAATTTAAAAAAAAATAAATAAAAAAAAAATAATAATAATAATAAATATAGTAGCAACTATACATAGTAAAATATTACTGAAAAGTGGACCTCAAAGTTAATGTGTGTTTTGTGAAATTACTCTTTAAATTTTTTGTTCATTTTGCATTTTAAAGGTTCTCGATGAAAAGACTTCTCCTAGTCTTCTGCGAGTTTCCTTACAACAACATAGCATTATTATGATATATTAATATATTTTTTCAACGATAACCACAAGCAAGTCCCTAGTAGCCCTGTCGTGCGACGGACTTGCGTTTATTTTTTAAATGCATGGGTTAATAGCCAGCACTTTATATTATAAACCACGATTTTTTACTTTTTATTTTTTTTATATATTTTTTTTTTTGTTTTTCTCTTAACATTTCTAACCTACTGTAATACGCCAAGCGTGAAACAGCATTGTTAACGCTCTTTAGATATTGCAAATATGTGTGGTGGACATTTATATAAACTGGAGTCATGTAAATATTTGTTCTTGAAATATATAATAATTGTTGTAAAACAAAAAAACAAAAAAAAAAACAAAAAAAAAATATATATATATATATATATATATATATATATATATATATATATATATACGTATTATTTTAAAAACCAGTTTTCAATACTTATATAAATGAGCCTATATACATGCAAGGCCGTCCCGAAGGAGGGGGGGGGGTGTCGGGGTGTCCAACCCCCTTTCCCCAAAGCTGTCATTTAAGCATTTGAGTTGGCACATTGAGCAATTATAGTTAACAAATTGCAAATATTGAGGACCTTTTTTTTTTATTTATATATAAAAAGAAGACCTGTTCGGGACGGCCCTGTATATATGTATAAAAAACAGGTTTTAAAAAATAAACCCATCAAATTTAAATAACAATAGTTTAAGTAAGGCAGTTTTAAAGAGTTTGTTTGATTCGAGCTTTTTAAATTATTTTTAGATATGATATTTGAAATCTAATAACTTAAAGCCCATGTTAAGTTGATCCTGTTTGGTACTGCTTGAACACTCTCAAAAGTGCCGTTCAAGACTAAACTTTGTTTTATATTTAAATCATGAGAATTTTTTCAAAAAACAGGTTTTATATAATTGAATTTAGTAAAATATTGAAACAAATTTTTTTAAATTTGTAAAGGTGAAATAAAGGAACTTCATACAGTAGTTTTAAAACATTATTAGAGTAAACCGGCGTTTTGATTTGATTTAAATGGTTGGATTTAGTGGATATTAGTATTAACATACAAATATTCAATACAGGATAATATCTCACACACGAGAGATTCGCAATATCCATTTCTGTTTACCTCTCATATTGTCCTAAAAACATCTTTTGGTTTACAATTAATTTATATGAAAGTTTTACTTTTAATACATTTTATATGAAATTGCCAAGAAAGTTTTCCATTTTAAATCACTTCCAGGATGTTTACGGTCAATACCATTTTAATAATTATTATATGGATAAAATGATTGAATAAATTTAGTTTCCCTGTATTCAATAAAAGTCACTTACTTGTAAACTACACGTTCATTTTATCTAACTCTTTGTTTTATCGTGTAGGAATTTTCAAAGCTAGTAGGATCACTTTAAACATTGTTAATTATGATTAAAGCTTATTATGATTAGGTTCTAACATTATTTTACTGTTACATCAAAGTTAAATAGTTAAATATTTTGAGCATATTGTTACATCAAAGTTAAATAGGTTTTTTTCTATGTTATGATGTACTTCGTGCATATTGTTTACATTGGTTTAAGAAATATTTTTTAAGGCACATTTTTGCTGTGAATAATGTGCCTTATTCAAGCGTTCTATTATTTTGCTTATTAATCAACCAATTAGGTACCAACTATTTCAGTAAAATTTTTTCAATTAAAATATGCATTGATTGAGTCAACGGAAATAAGACCTAGTATTAGTACTACATCATAGTAATCAATTTTATTTCCCCCTCTGAAAAAGATTTTTGATAATTACTGCACCTCCCCAGTGGGCACCGGACCAAAAAAAGACGTCTTTTGAACGTTCAAAAGACATCCAAAATGTTCAAAAGACGTTCAAAAGACGTCCAAAACGTGTACAAGACGTTTAAAAGACGTCTTTTTTACGTCCGTGTCCACTGGGTCTAGCTTATAATACTTTTTATTTATAGTTCTTAATTAGTGGGCAGTATCACCAACTTTAAGTTTTTTTTTAAAAAGAAAGAGTCAAAATAGAAAAAAATTAAAGTTATGAGAAGTAAAACTTGAAGAAGTTTTTTTAATTAAAAAAAAAAAAAATTTAATATATTTTGCATTTAAAAAAAAAAAAAGAAAAAACCTCATTATTACATATATTATAACTTATTAAATATATTTATATACAATTACTTTATTTGTATTTGATGCTTATGTAAAACTACGACTTAATTCTTGATATTTAATATATTATAACCAGTATTCGATATTTAAACTTTAGGCGGAACTTGTTACATAAGAATAATTTGAAAAATAATTTACTTCTTCCATAAACTCGCTATATAAACTTTGATCGCTTTTATTTTTATAGGGAATCGTCAATCTCATTTTGAAGATGGTAAGAAAGTTTTTAAATTCAAATCAATTTAAAATAAAACTGCATTTAATTTTGGTTAATTTATTTATATGTTGTATTATAATAAATATTTATATAAAAACAACTTTAGCAGTTTGTAACAGTTTATTGAAAATTCCGCTTAATTGGTATTTTTGTGACGGTTACAAGTGGTAGTAAAGTATTTCAAACAACAAAAATTTTACCTTGAACATGTTTATGATAAAATTTTTACTATGCATAGTCAAAAACATATTTATATAACTTGTGATTTGTCAATCTACAGCTTGCACAATAATGCGTGCTTAGCTAATGCAGTACATGCATTCACAACACAATAAATACATTAATATATTATAATATGTTGTATCTTTGCAACATACTATGTAGGATTGAGCCCGGTAAAACAGTTAATTTTGTTAAAGTATATGTTAATTTATTTACCAGTATATGTTTACTACAGTGACCAACAACATTATAGAGTACCGTATTGACCATATATTCAAGCTTGATCCTCGGATGGATTGGTTGCAATACTAATACCCAGCGGGCACAGCGACGTGATAAAAACGTGCATTTCACGTTATTTTTGGCACGTGACATTTAGGTGACTTTTTGGTCCCTATGAAATGACCAAAAAACGTGATTTTTGGACGTGCTTTTCACGTTACTTTTGGTACGTGATATTTACGTGACTTTTTGGTCCTTATGAAATGTCCAAAAGACGCGACTTATGGACGTGCTTTTCACGTTACTTTTGGTACGTGAGATTCAGGTGACTTTTTGGTTACTATGAAATGAGCAAAATTGTTCATTTCTTCGAGACCATAGTCACCTAAATATCATGTACCAAAAGTACAAACGTAAAAAGCATGTCCATAAGTCACGTCTTTTGGACATTTCATAGGGACCATAAAGACACGTCCTTAAGCTTAAGGACGTGTCTTTATGGTCCCTATGAAATGTCCATATATATATATATATATATATATATATATATATATATATATATATATATATATATATATATATATATATATATATATATATATATATATATATATATATATATATATATATATATATATATATATATATAAACATTATCGAACTAAAAAGATTGAATGAAAAATTGAAAAAAAAAAAAAAAAAAAATTAGATCAAATAGTCATAAAAAGTGGATTTCAGGTGTAAATATCTTTTATATAAAATAACTCGTTATTTATAATCTGCAGCCAATCCACGAGGAGCACGCTTTAAATGCTCTCCAATGAATCTATCTATTACTTCCCTTTTGTTAGTTTGAGATACAAGTGCAGCTAAAAAATAAGGAACAAAATGTTAATTGCTTTTTATCAAACACATTTATTTGTCATTTTCTTTAGACTAGTTTTGTTATTTCTATGTTTTGTAAGTAAGTAAATACTACAAAGAAAAATCTAAACATTTTTAAAACAGAAAAAATACTTACCTAGTATTGCCTTATATGAAAAAGTAATCTTAAACGATTTTTTTCCTTTGTTACCCATCTTGTTAAACTGCGCCTGCACCTGTTTCTCCATCAACTCATTTATACACCTACTTACTAGTTGTGAAGGTGACTGTCCACCCAGTTGTTTTAAACGACTAACCTAAAATATTTAAAAATGAATATTTTATTTTTTGAATGAATATTTTGAATGAATATTTAAAATTAATTTTATTGATCTATAATTTCAAATTTTGACAAGTGATTTTGCTCGATTAATGGCCAGTTTTATAAAAACCAAAACTAATAAAAAAAACATACCAGAAGAGTATACTCATTTTCATCAACCAACTTTCTATCGAACTTTTCAAATTCTTCCATGGTGTCAAACTTTGTAAGATGGAAACTTGAATCTGCTGGCTCTATTCTCCTTCCTAACCGTTCCAATGTAGTAACAATATCTGCCTGACCGGCTTTAATAGCAGCCAACTCCATAAACAATCCATACTGCATTCCTAAAATAAAAACATTAGAATAGTTTAATCAGCAATTAATACATTAGTCCAACACTTTTTGCAATCGTATCTAATGGAACAAATCATTTCTAGATTTTTAACACATATTTTTAAACAAAAATAATTTTCAAAATATATAATGCCTAGCAGAGGTAAAAAAGAAATTAAAAAAACTTACGCCTCTGATCCATTAACTTAAACGAAGAAGGTGGGTCACCATAATTTCCAAAACGACATGTTTGACTGGATTTTGGTTGGCAGAGTGACAATGATGCATCTTTGTGACAGGGAGTGGAATTTACATTGAGCATGCAATGAGATGAAGTGTTTTGTTTCAATGGAGATCTCCTTGGGGATTGATTACTATTACTGTTAGAAGCTGATGTTTGAAAATATGAAGCAGATGCAGTATAGTTGTGTTTGGTTACAGTATTCTGACTATTCAACAAATGTTTTGATTTTTTTGTTTGTTGGATTGCAACTTTTAAAGGACTGGAATGTGAATCAGAAGAACAGCTTTCGCTTTCATTAGAATATTCTTTAGTCCTTCTTTTGCATTGGTCGGATTTAAAATTTTTACTACTAAACTTTGGTATTCTTTTGATGACAAGATCCGGACTAGGCTCGCGGATCATTTCAGATGTTTCTAGTACAACACCTAAAAAGTGGTCAATAAAATCAAATGAATGGGTTATTATTTCCAGTTTTATACTAAAAAAATAATTTTCACTTAGCAATGCAAATTTATCATAAAATAAGATGCAATCCAAAGAAAGAAACAAAATACAAAAACCTTGAAGAACCAAAAACAGAAAATTGAAACACTTAAAAAGACATCTACCTGCAGGAGGACACTCTGATAATTCTGAGTCTATGTTCAAGCATACATTACACATTTCTTTAGTGCCTTTACTTAAAGAAACTTTTATTAGAGGAAATTGTTGCCAATTTGGACAAGGAGAAAGCCATTTTGATATATAGTAGTGTAGGGGATGTTCTCCAACTGGAGGCCAGTACACACATTTTTCATCTTCCTCCACCCAATGAAACGGAACCATGCACTTTTTATGAAAATTATTTTCATTAAGAGTTACAACTGAATAAAGCTTTTTGATTGGGCTAAAATAAAACATTTAATCTACTATTAGCCACACACACATCTCTCTCTCTCTCTCTCTCTCTCTCTCTCTCTCTCTCTCTCTCTCTATATATATATATATATATATATATATATATATATATATATATATATATATATATATATATATATATATATATATATATATAGTATATATATATATATATATATATATATATATATATATATATATATATATATATATATATATATATATATATATATATATATATGTATATATATATATATATATATATATACTTATATATATATACTTATATATATACTTATATATTAATGAATTCTATTCATTTTATAACTTAGTCTCATTTATTCTTATTTTTGAAAATTAACATTTTGTCTAGAGGAAAATGGCAATTTTCTGTCAATGGAAATAATTAATAACACACGTTTATAAAAACAAGATTAAATTTTTTGACTGAAAATCATAATATAAAAACATAAATATAAAATGCTATGACTATTATCAAAAAAATATAATTGTCTATAACTGTCTTGTATCAACATTGTGAACTAGAGCTGATATAACAAATCCATTATGTGTAGGCATGCAGACACACTTCCGCAAAATATCGTGTTTTTGCTTGACACAAGGAGTAGAAATAGCATTTTTGCGTAAGAAAAATATGTTAATATCCTTTGATTGCACAAAATCAGTAAAAAAATTGTCCAAAGAATGCTTCTTGAATTTAATGCAATGAAATTGATCATCAACAACGTTTTTAACAAATACAACACTTGAGTTAGTTATAAAACAATTATCTTTATCAGAAACACTAATGCGGAAAGTGTTTTTTGGTGTTTGATGAAAATCATTCAGCTCGTCAAGTCTTTTGGCCACTTGTATCAATGGATTTCTTGTTCCACTGATCATTTTTTTTAATTTTTGAAGATAATTTTCAAACTTAAATGCGGAGAGATTATCCAGAGACACACCATAATTCTGAACATCTTCACAAAGGTGCAAAAGACTGTGTACATTATAGACACAAAACAAATGGCCATACACATCTACTGAATTAGTTACAAAGTATCTTAGTAAGTGTTCTGCATTCTGAAGATTTGAGTTGCGAGTAGCATCATCACTTTCGCACAGAAATCTTATAGCAAGGCACAGACTTAAAAAATGTTTGTAAACAGAATTATCAACAACATCTTTAAGGGCAAAAATACCAGTGTAAAGCAAAAATGAGTGCAATTCTGTAGCTTTCCATCTATCTAACTCAACAAGACTCCGTGGCTGTCTAACAAAGTCACTTGGGAGTTTACCATTCAAACTGGTAAGCTTCTCAGACACCTGGTTGACCATGTTGGCTGATAGTTTACCTGAACTTGTGCCTTTGATACTGCCCTTTAGAAAATATAATATTCTCCGCATAACACCGAGACAAACAAGATGCATATAATCAAGCAGAAACATACTCACAAAACCAATGGACTCAACATCATGTAATGGACTTTTGCTGATTTGGTGAGATCTATTATTATCATCTTTGAAAAAGTAACCATTTGTCCGAAAGATCTGGTCTGTTCTTAAAACAACATTTTTTTCATGGTGGGAAAAAACAATACGATTTTTTAAACTCCTTCCTACCATTGTACATCTTTCGCATGAGTGGAAACCACAATGACTAATGATTCCTTTTAACATTGCTCTAGCAGGAGCATCGCAAACAAATGCATAAACAGTAACAATGTAATCAATGTTATTGACATGAAGAGCATTATGTTGCAATTCATTTAACTCATTTACTAAGGCACACAAATACACATCACATGGTGGCTTTTTATTACCACAATATAAACCAACAACAAATGGTTCCATTCCTAAAATTGAAGCAAGTATTGGCCATAGTTGGGTAGAGTTTGATTTGAACAAAGGTATTCCATCAATATTAAAAGTTAAATAAAGAGAAGTTTCTTTGATTGATTTGGAAGAAATTTGTTTTTCAATTTGTGTTTTTAAACCCAAGTAAATATAGTCACCATAACCTTCAATATTGATACTTGCAATACTTCTTTTTGTTTTTAATAATGTTCTAGAATCTAATGGTACACTTTGCTTACACTCCAAAAACAACTTTAATGCACCATTAATACATTGCCTTGTACATCTATGTGTAAGAGCCCAACAACGCAGTTTAGAACATAAGCTTTCATCATAAATTTTATTTTCATCTTCTTTATTACCATAAGAAACACTTTCTGAGGAAGTTAAAGAAACATCTACTTCACTATTGCAATTGCTCAAATCACTTTTAATAAATAGAAAATCATTATCTTCTACATCATTTGAAATATCTGTAAAACTATCATCACTTTGTTCATTTCTTGTTACCTCTGAAGAACTTTGTGTAGATACAGACATCTGTATAACAGCTAACCTCCTTTTTCTCCATAATGATACTGAACTGAAGACATAAACAAGATTTAAAGTTTTTAATTTTTTTCGTACAAATTTTAAGTTTATTTATGAAACAAAACCAGCAGAAAAAATAAATATTTATAAAAAATACATAACTGAAAAATACATTAGAGCCTTAAAAATATCTATGGTACAGGACAAAACAAACAGAAAATATAAAATAACTTGTCATCATCACATGAGTCACAAAAAAAATACAACGAGAGTAAAAAGTCTATTTTTCTCAACATTATTCAATAACCTTATAAGTTATAAGGTTATTGGGTCTTACTACTAGTAAGATTAATGTTAAATTTATTAGGCTACATGGACAAATGATAAGTTCTGCATAAAATATTATTGACTAGGAAGACCCAATTATATTGTTTTGTCATTGTCTAGGAATATTATTGTCTAGTAATGACTAGTAATACAAGATAATGTTATTTCTAGACAAAACGATATAATTGGGTCTTCCTAGTCAATAATATTTCATGCAGAACTTATCATTTGTCTATGCAGCCTAATAAATTTAATGTTAAATAAGTTGTAGTATAACTTATTTAGTATTAAGTAAGGTAAGCTACATAGACAAATTCGACAGTTTAAAATAATCAATAATACTATTATTAATAGGATACTATAATTAATAGGACTATTATTAATAGGATAAAAAAAGTATACCTTGTACT